AATAGTTGACTTTTTTAGCTGACTGGGCTATTTACCTTTGTTCTCAGTAAGATCACAGCCATATACTGTGCCCTTCTTACCATATGGCAGCTCTACTTCATACAGACTTTCGATCTGTGGCTGCACACGGATCCCCCAAAGAACTGCCCGCTATTTACTATACATGCAAAGGATGCAGGGAGCTAAGAAAGTTGATGTCCATTGCAGCCACCAACGCTGAAAACTAGTCATCCTTCTTTAAAGGTAATGTTAAAACGTCACTTCCTATAGCTTATGATCATACACAATAGATCTTTCTTCTGATGGTACCAGCATTCAGTGAAAAGTACATGCTTGATGACCTGCTGCAGACTTATTCCAGTCCCTGCTAAGAGTGGATAATTTCATTAAGTGATTATTGCTTACATACCCAATTAAGAAGAGAGAAACTATGGACCAACATGCTTTAAGGGCTTTATAGGTGAAAAAGAAGATCTTGGAGTTAATATGACATACAACAAGCAATTAATCTAACCAGGCCATGACTAGAATTCTACCTTATGAGAGCTTAAAAAAAAAAGCCAATCTGAGCAACAACATTTTCTATAGACACTATATTTTGTCAAAATGAAGCAAACTAATCACAAACATTGGCCAGTAATTTTGAAATATAAACCACCTTCTCTAAAGCAAATGTAGGGTATTTAAAATGATGCAGTAAATCATCACCAGAACACCCTTCTCGAGATTTTAAATATGGGACCCTCTGAACCATAAATGAAGAGTTGGGTGACTGAACAGGGACACGACCAGTAATAGCTCCTTTTCCAGTAACTTGTAAAAATAATCCACACAGCCAAGCTTTAGTAAAAACTGGGCAACAATAGGTCTGGAAGAACCAATTAATTTTATTTATTTTTTTAAAAGAAACAAAAGAGAACATTAGCATTATTCATGCCCTGGAACTGTATCAGGTGATCTGCTCAACAGGATGTCTTAAAAGTCTATCAACTTCAGCAATATTTGCTAATTTCTCTAGATGAGTAAAAAGAAAATTAAATTAATTTTTTCCCCTCCTCTGTGTACTCAGAACTCCCCTTATCTCTCCCTTGATATTTTATATCTCATAGTATTTCTGTCTTTCCAATTGACTAATATGACCCCTAACCAGATACCTAGGAAACTGTTATTTACATCTGTTCAGAATCCTTACATAGCAGCTTTACAAAGGATCAATTTAATGAGGATATTATCTGCCAATTCAGATATTAAATTTTTTTTCCTAATTTATTTAGATACTTGCCCAAAACAGTACACACCAGTATCTATATGCAGAAAACCATAGATAATGTTAAATTTACTTCAGGAAACATGGGCTTTCTATCTGCTACGTTCTCAGTTTATAGCAGCAAATTATGAAAAGAAAGGGCCAAAGAGCCATAACAGAACTATTGCAATTCATGAAGAAAACTATGTCCTATGATGATAAGTATCACAGCAAGGTATATAATTAAGAGTGGCTATAATGACAACATATAAATTAGATAATTATGGCTTAAGCAATCCCTTGGGGGATTTTCTCTTGCCCTAGAAAAAATATAACAAGCTCCTTAGATAGAACGCAATAGCTATTAAGTATCTGAGGGAGAAACAGGACTAAAAAAAAAAAAAAAAAAAGAGCACACAGCAAGAGAAAAATCTTAATTTACAATCTAAAGACAGCTCTCATTTTTGGTAGTTTATGTTAATACACTTACTGGTACAGTTTTCACCCATCAAATCTGCTGACAACTGTTGGCTAAAGAGCACATGTCAGATTATCAAGAAGTGCAATATCAAATAAACACGAGCTGCTTCTTAAGGTGACAGTAGGGAGATACAAAACACTGCAGCTATTACCAGAAATGTAATTTTTTGTTGATGTTGTTGTTTCTTACATCAATTTAATAATCCCAGGTGTCCTGGACACCAGACATACAATAATCTTCATAAATCCTAATTCACAGCCATACCATCTGTCAAAAATATTTTTTATGTCTCCTAATAGATATGCTACATAATTGCTCTCACAGTAGGACAAAAATACATGGTTGCGCTAATTTGCTTTACCAATGGAATAGCTCATTATCAAAAATAACCCCACCACATTACTAGGGTTTCTAGCACTCTTCATATATCAACGCTAGCCTTTCCATTCTGTTATTTTCTATAACCTTAAATTCCCAGTGAAAGCAGATAAAGATTGAATTATCTGGGAATTGTACTATAATAATGGAAAACTCGCAAGCATGAAAAAATAAAACCGTAATATCTCTTTCTGTTATGATGGTGTTGCAGTTAAAATTAGAAGCTTTGTATTTCACTGTCACAAAGAGACTAATTTAAGTTCTCAGCCCTGCAGCGTGCTAAGCATTTTGGCCCCAATCCAGAAAAGCACTTAAATGCGCGTATGACTTTTAGCTCATGAGCCTGAAGCAACTTCAGCAGGATTGTACATGCTCGATTAGGCCCAGAGCACTCACTACCCTGGTGGACAATGCATCTGACTCGGCATCGGGAGATGACCCTCCCAAACCTCCATCTGTACTTGCGGAGATGGAGAGGGTACTCCACATGGGACTGTTCAAAGTAGGAGCTTCTGTTCCCACTCCCGTGGGAACGTTTGGACTAAAGTTGGCCTTTGAGAACACCCTTCCTCAACAAGTTTCTAAGTATCTGCAGTTCCTCTAACATGCATGTGGTATCAAAACCCCTTAAAATAACGCAGACTGCAGGTACTGCCGTTGTTATAAGAGGTTCTGTTACATGTTGCTAGTTGCAGCAAGATAATTTTGGTGTAAGCTTTTTTTCGTGCATTAGTTTAAATAAGTTGTGCAAGTTTATACAGAAATATGTACTTGATAATTCAGTAATTGTACAGAAAACAAATCCAACAGTACCTAAGTAAATGGGAAATTCCAAAGATCATGACAGTTACCAAAAAATACTCCAGAAGATACTTTCTTCAAAAAATCAAACTCAACCTCATTTCCTTTTTGAATAAGGAAGTGACCCAGCAACAAAGTATTACTTCCTTCTTCTTTAAATCACATTTCTAAAAGCACTTTCCATGTTCCACAAAGACTACATCTATTAAATTGTAAAACAGATTCTATTTAAAAATAAAAGCAAGTTTCCAGCAATTGAAAGATGCAGTTGAAGAACTAAACACTCTTCTGTTCAACTCTGCATGACAAATATCCGATACTACTTTGCAGTCTAACAGATATGTTTTAACATACTGTACTATGTTTACGAAGTATTCTTGTTTTAATGCTAACAAGCTTACTATTTCAGTTAATGTTCTGTTTCTCAGTGACATATTGAATACATAATACAATGCTTTTCCAATTTTGCTAAATTGGTAGATTTCTCCCACAAATTTATAAAAACATACTTACTACTGCAAATAGGAATATTGCTTCCCTAATGGCCAGAATTATCCATTTCATTTCCATGATCCTCAGTTACTCTATTTAATTTGAGAAATGGAGAACTCCTTCAAGTAAATGTGAAGTCCAAACACCCAAATCCAGAGACCGGAATTAATAACTTAGATACCACCAAATGCTGTATCTGCTGTATCTTAATTTAATTGATGTTGTCACAAGCCAGTTCATACAAGTATTTTTGTGACATACTAAGTCTTTTAATATACAGATTAAAATAAATCTTTGTTTTATTTGCACTGTAATATCTGCTACTTTTTTTTGAAAACTTTACTTCTTTCCTCTGACTCATAAACACTTAAAATCTACACAAGTTCCTATTTACTGAAAATCCACAGAATTGAACAAACCACTGACACTACAATAACTGGCAGCTCACAATACCTAGCAAGAACATCACATTAAGGGAAACTGTGTCTGTGCAGTAGGTAACCACAACACCAATGCATTATACTGCCTCAGAATTGCAGGACTTCAGCTGCAAAACACCCTGGCTCAGATGTGCACAGATCCAGAAGTCAGACTAAAATTTTGCAATTAATTATAACTAATTCATACTGCCATGTTATCAGAAGGCAAACCACTCATTACTATGATGAATTAAAGATTTCTGTATCAGACACAGTTTTTAATTTGAAATTAAAAAAGGAGACTACAGATCACACACACGTTGACCACTCTTAAAGATGCAACATTATCACACACACCTCTGATATACCAAGGGACTTAGCAATAATAAATATTAAAATGGCATTGAGAAGAGAGAGACAGACAGAGACACAGTTCCAAGGCTAGATATGAGAGAGAGAAATTTTAGGTTAAGCAAAAAAACCCCACCACAAACGCACCAAAAGTCCAAGCAAAATGTCTCACAGTTATGTTTTAAATATCTAAAATATTTATGTTATATAGATGCAAAACAGGCTCATTGCAAAAACATTTTCAGAGGAGGTGGAGAAGAAAATAAGTGTACATCATATGCAGAAATATTCTGAAAAGCCCTCTTTGGTATACATGGATTAAATATTAAATAAACCAGATGAAGAAAAAGAAGTCCAAATTTACAGCCACACAGTACTGAAAGAGAAAGAAAACACACAATAAAGACAGTCTATTATACTCACACATTTACAACATGTTACTTATAATGGTAGCTGTGGAAATAAATGACATGTAAATGTTTGACATTTTCCATCACTACTCACCACGCTAATGCTTCTATGCAATTCATTAACATTCTAGCTACAGTTTCATGCTTGCATGTCTTAAGTATAAAAATAAGATACTCAGCAATACCACACAGCCCAGCCTTCTTACTATTTCTTTTTCAAATCAGTATCGGTGACCTTGATAATATTGCCATCTAATTACTAGCAATGCTTCTTTTATGATAGATGATGAGGAAGGCTGAGTAGGCACTCAGTCTAGGGAAGATGTGAATGTGTTGAAACCTTCTCCTGCAGGACATTCATGCTTCTTAAATGAGCTGCTATGGAAGCTTCATCATGTGTGCATAAGGAAAGAGTCTCCTACCTGTGGAGGTTGGTTGTACATTGGTCTGGTCTCTGGAAACGAGGTTTTATCCTTTGACTCTCTACTTTGATCATCAATTGTGTCACCTAGCAAAGTAAAAAAAAAAACTATTATATCACTGAAATCCTTCATATTGTATATGGAATAAGAAAAACTCTTGAGTCTTCCTAAAATCCAATTATACAATTCCCTGGGAAAGGGAGAACTCTGCTGCCACATTTATATTTTACAATTTTGAACACAAGGAAAGAGAACAACATTTGAGAAGTGCTCTGCAAAAACCGGGAATAAATCTGTGTCAATTAGTTAAAGGGAAAAATTCAGAGGAAAAAAAAGAAAGAAAAAAAGCAGGGCCCCTATTTTTGCACACTTTAGGACCATTAAGTTCTAATAATGACAAAGTGTCAAACAAAGGAAACATAGTACAAGTATCTGGTGCGAAAGCGATACCAGGTGCGCACATCCGTCACGTCCCAATCCCACATCAGGCTAGAGGACATGTGCACCGTTACTCTACCCTCATTCGTAACCTCGTTTCCATACAAAGGGTATCTGTGCATGAGTGCTGAAAGAGAGACACAACATACTGAGAGAAATTGCCTGGGTTTGACCGTACCAGGACAACGACCACTTGGCAGGCTGGGCACTAACCTCCTCCCATTGGATAGACGTGGCTACCTCTGACCAGGATTTTACTGAAAAGACATGGTTCAGTTTATCCCAAAAGCTGCAGCTGGTGCCACTCTAAGATGGGCAGACCACAGCAATAAACTAGAGACAGAGAATTTAAATTGATTTTAAAGACAGAAGGTACATTATTAATTTTATTAAAAAGGTAGAGGTAGTAAAACAAAAAAAGCAGCCTTTGTTTCTCAGATATTGTAGAACAAATATCCACCTAGCCTATCTTCTCCAATCTTCTTTGTTGGTGGGAGGGTGTACAAGAAGTTGTAAAGATTTTGTGGGTCGTCTCCTTCTGCTGTTAGTGCTACTCGGCAAATAGTTTGTAAGAGGAGACAACTTAGAAAGATGAAAGATTTAGTCACATAATTCTGGTTTTATTTTTATTTGAACTGATATTGCTTTCTGTAATGGAGTATTTTGAAAGTCTGTATCCTTAAAGAGTCTTGCAGCAACAATTCTAAATTAAAGTGTTCAAGTTACTGTACTTTAACTCCTTTGCTAAGCCTGTGTTTTTGGCAGTCCTCTTCCATTTTCTCCAGAGGTTTAGTTAGAGCTGATGCACCTGGCAGAAGCCATCGGGAGCAGCAGCCAGCTTTTGCCCATGCCCAGTTAGCCTGGAAGCTAATGACGCATGCTTGCTCCACGCTGTCATCAGCCCCTAAGGACTGACTAGTCAGGTCCCCTGGGTACAATGTAATATTTGGCAAAGTATCTTATGAAAACAAAGAAAAATAATTAGAGGTCTTGTAAACACCTTTTGTGTTCCCTTCTAGTCCTACATTCCATGAAGAATGCAGGAGGAAAGACTCCACAAGATACCCCTCCCTAAAATCAGGACTTGTCAAGGGAACTTATGCTGGCTGCACGGAGACTTGTGAAGATGCAAGTAGACTGCAGCAAGCTGGACAAAGACTCGTCGAGTGTGTAAGGAAGAGCTGCATAGCCAGTCAGTAGCAAAGGGACAGCTAATTGAAGTCAGTGAGATGATTCATATTGGGTAAAGTTGGGTGTATGCATACACATACTGAAAGAGAGTTACACAGGAGATTTAAGAAACACTGGAACCAACTTTTTACTCCTTGTTGTTACATACCGTTCCTGAGAAAGCACTCGGAAGTTTTTATATGCAAAAAACAGAAGACCAAATTCATGTGTGTTAATGCTATCCAGAATACACTTTTTTCCTGTGATTAGTTTTCCTTAAGATGAAAAGAAATCTTTGTTTGAAATCAGGACCAAAGGGTCAAAAATGTAAAAATGTTCACAGGAAAGGAAGAATAAGAACAGCTCATTTGGAGAGAAATGAAATTTTTTGACTTAGACTTTTGACATCCAACTCCCAGAGGTCATAAATTCTTAAGGAGGCCAAAATGTAGCAATATCTATAGTTTCACAAATCAAATTGACTTTGTAAACTGAACTTTAATGCAGAGCTCTTCTTTGATTAAAAAAAAAAAAAAAGCAAATGGGAAAAATGGCAAAACCCCAACATCTTGCCAAATTTTCAGGCATATGGTTCTGCAAGAATAAGCCATGAATCTTTGTATAGACTGTTATTATTTGAGTTAATGGAGTTAAAACAGTTATAGGCAGCTGCATACCAAGCTGCCCAAGATATCCACTAGGATAGAATAGTTTTCCAGAGAAATCAGTATTCTCAGTGTACTTCTTTCACTGGTTCCTATCTCAAATATCCAAACAGATTAGTCATCCTCATTTCTAGTAGCCCAAATAATGAATTAACTCTCAATTACCTCCCCAGCTCCACCAGTTCCCAACCTTATCAAGCTTGCCATAGCTGACCCATCTTGTTTAGCCACCCCCAAATTTTTTTTGTTCAGCTTGCCTTGGTTTCCCATTGACCTCAATTCTAATCTCTTCCCTTAACTGGAAGTCACAGTTTCTCTTCCCTCTTCAGGCTCAGCCTTTCAAATGCTTCCCTCTGATCTGGCTTTTCCTCTTCTCCACTGCAACCCTGCGATCTCCTCTTCCCATTTCCCTACATGTTAGGAAGGTGGATGAAGGTAAACACCGAATAGACAGACATCCCACAACAGCACAGACCTTTGGGAGCAGCAACTAATGTGGGTTCTTTTAAGCCCTTCACACGTTCTGGTTGATAGTTTTTGACTGGGGAAAAAAAAAAACCAACCACCACCACCCTGCCAAAGACCCCAGAAAAAATCCCAAACCCAAACAATTCCCCTTACACAATCCTGATGTAAATAGGCATATAATTACAATTTTGCCAAACTAAGCAACTGAAATCTGGCTTTGAAAAAATCACAAACATATAACCTTAAGAGGCAGGGCTACCAATTCCCCACCACCACTCCCCAAAAAAGTCTTTCGTCAGAACTGAACTGCAAATACATTCACAGATAAGGCCAGAGGGACCACTGTAATCATCTAGCCTAACCTCCTGTATAAATATAGGCCATAAGATTTCTTGAATTAATTTGTTTGAACTAGAGCAAGTTTAAAGCTGTATTTTAATTAAGAGATAACAGACAAAATTATTCATTTTACAAAACAATTAGATTCTGGCTCATATATCCCTTGGTTTAAAAGCACTATGCAAAGTTTTAGTCATAAAACTCCTATTAAAAGAAAAATCTAAGTCATGTATCTAAAAATGTCGTATACTATTTAGAGACTATAAGAATTAGAAATGAAGGGCGCTCCCTGCAGTGTAATATGGTTTAAACATCAGCAGCATAATCTGTGATATGCAGGACATCACTAGGAAAATTTATCAGGAAAGAAATAATCATGCTTATTGCTGTAAAATATTCCCTTACTTATCAATGGAAAAATATTTTCAAGTTTGAAAAGAGAGCAGTAGACATATTTATCCTACTGTCCAGATGAGCCCATATTTAAAATCCTCAGTCTTGGGAGGCTGTTTTTAAGTTATATTAAGCCTCTTCCAGGCCCCAACGAATGGCGATGCACTCCAAGGTCAGACATACATTTCTCCTTTCACTGAGCTGGTGCTGGAGTTACACCAACATTCTGTGAGTTCCACTGGTATCTTCTTTTTCCAAGAACTGCAGCCAGGTGTTGCACAGGAAAGAAATACCCAATCCAGTCTTCAGTATGTACTATGTACGTCCCCCCTCAAACCTCAGAATTTTTTGTTTCTTCAGAAATCTGCATTCAGCTGCCTATCTGGACCTCAGCGAACTCTTGTATAGAAAGGTTCAACCACAAGTTTGGCTTCTACTCAACAAGGAAGTGGGGTTTCTATTTATACTCTTTCCTCTTCCAGCATTTTGTTATCCTCAAGCTGTGTAGTCTCTTGATCAACAGACAGCATTTAAAAGCCTAACCCGCCCTCACTTTAAAAAGTTAAAACCAATTGTAAATATATTTTAGGTCTTCTGTAACTTAGATTGCCATTTGTCCTAGTCTGTGCAAGAACCCTGTGAGACAGTGAAGCATGTGCAACACAGCAAGCAGTAACTAGCTACCAAATACATGGATTTTCAAATGTCACCTTCAGCTTCAAAAGAAAGACAGCTATTTTCCATTATACTTTAGTTAGTTGCTTAACTATTTGTTGCCTGTCATTATCTTCTCTATCCTGCATAGAAATGGCAAGAACAAAGAGTATTCTGGCTTCTACTCGGAAGCAAAAAGACAAAAAGTTTTAAGAGAGGATTAGTAGGATCTGAAAACAGGAGAGGCTGACCCTGTGGAAGCATCAAGGTTTTACTGCAGTTTCTTGCCCCTCTTTCTTACTCATAAATCTTCCCCTCTCTCCCCGAGATAAGGAAGCAAGCCAGGCCAGACACACCAATTTTAAGTCACCCTGCTCCAGAATAAACTAACAGAACTTCAGGCTTCAGTCCATTGACAGTCGCAGCGCTTTCAATGTAGGGAGGTACTGAAGAAGTACTGTAATTCCCTCTCCCCTCTGAACATCTGAGTCTTGGTACTCCCTACAATCTCACTTCTGTGTAATGGGATAGTATCATTTTTCTGAGTCCTGCTCTTCTCTCAGCCTCTTTTAAATAGCCTCAAGCTCCCTTCAACAGGGAAGAAATGTGTTTCTGCTCAGTCTCTCCCCAGCCCTGCTTGTTTCTCCAGCACCCACTGCCAGGGTCTCACAGCTTCCATTTGCTTCCAGCACCACTGCAAGCTTATTAGTAAAAAGTTCCTTTCCTTTCTTTGTGCATACAGCAGACAGGCAATCAGCAATGGATGTCAAGTGTCTGCTGTTCTCCTCACTGCCGTTTCCATCCTCAAGCTTCATCTCAGTCGCCCTGGTTCCTTTCAGGAAGAGTCCACAGCTACATTTAGTACCAAAGAAGAGTGCTGAGCTGCCAATCCAGAATATCAGTCAAATATGTTCACCAGCCCCTTCCTGCCCAACGAGTGAGCTGGGGACTGCAGTGGG